ACAGGGCTGCGCCTGCGTCGCCACTCCCGTGCTTTCCCCTTCTGCAGCTGAGCGCTGTATGTATGTCTTATATTTCCATTATACAACTCTACTGTGCATATAAGTTTGTGGGAAAGGGTAATGCAGTCTAGGGAGGGTTGATAACTATGTGTGGGAGGTTTGTAAAGGGTAATCTCGCCCCTACTTTGCAGATTTTCCCTTTTTGTGGTGGGTCTTGGAACCCAACCAGGAGAGGCATCACTGTATATTTATTGAAAACTAATTGCAGTAGTTATATGTTAACTGTTAATGCATGGTATGTGCATACATTGAAATCAATTGTTTATTTTGTGGTTGGTTGATGATCTGAGGGGGGAATGTGTTCTTGTTGTCCCTGCAAGATTGTGCTGTAGTGCCTACCATAGGGATAAATAGACCGATAAACCCAAGTCTTGTAGACACAGAACCGCAGGTCCCTTCTGATGACAACTGTCTTCTCCACAGTCATTAAGATGTTTAGCTCCAGGTTGTTTCGACTCAACCAGTGGCTGGTCTACAGTGAAAAAGCAGTGGGGCGATGACAGCGCTAATAGTCCTTGTACAGCAGGTGGCCAGACCTTCTGGGTTCTCACAGCTAGATAGGTGTGAAGTCTATCCAGGATATGTGCTGAAGGTTATCAACAAACAGCATCTTGATGTACATTCCTATACAGTAAAGTCAGGTCAATTTGAATTATGTAACCTATTTTCACGAAACACATGAAAACAAAATTAGATAACACAATAGGCATACATTCTGTGTTTAAAAGGCCATGGCAAAAAGCAGAATGGGAATATGGGGAGACAGCAAAGGTGAGAAAAGGAGGGATGGAGAGAGAGAGAGAGAGAGAGAAAGAGAGGGCAAGCGCAGGCATAAAACACCATAAAAGATGATACGAGGAAAGTAGTAACGAGTGTTCAATTTATCAGACATTTACACAACTGGCAGACCTGATGAACTTCAAGAATTTGATTAACTGGAGCTGAAAAATCCAGCTTTAGCTGTTTGGATTGCATGGCTTTGTGTCCTTCTTTGTTAGCAGCAGTCACATTATGCACACCTGGCCCGCTCTGATCATCAACATTGTCAGCAACAGAGGTTTTGGCCACTAGTTTTGTAGAAGTGTATGCCATTGAGAGATGCTTTTTTAGATTAGAGTTTAAATCGAGTACTCACTCCTAGTCCTTCTCCTACTCTTAGTGGCCTGACACTGTTGTGCTATTGTGCTCATTGTCCTTCGCTTGGTTATTTTACCCATTTTTATACGATACGAGGAAACATCTAGTAACGAGTGTTCAACCGAGCCCGATTTTTTCAATGGACATTGTCGTGCTGTCTCGCTCATTGTCCCTCGCTTGATTATTTTTTCCCATAATTTTTAATGGGGAAAATTTGATCTAGATACAAGTGGATCGAGACTATCAATGTTGAATTTGATGCAGTAGCTGAAGCACTCATGAAGAAACACCCATGTTTAAAGAAGCAAGGTTGTGTTTCGTCCTTCGCTTGGTTATTTTACCCATTTTTATAACAATATAGGTTTTGGCCACTAGTTTTGTAGAAGTGTATGCCATTGAGAGATGCTTTTTTAGATTAGAGTTGCTTGCAATGGACATGGACATACACGTCACGTCAAGTACATTCTTGTCTTTTAGTTCTAGGAGAATGAAGTAGTGCCTGTATGTCCATTTTGAAAATGCCAACTTTTCCTCCAGACTTGCCCTTGTAGTTGCTTACCCCCGCTTGTTTGGGTGTGTGAGTAAACACTGCCTCTGATTGGCTAACCATGACAGCTTGTCTTGCCTTAGCCAATTATTATCAAGTATGCAATGGTTTTGTCCTTCCTTTCTCCCTCACAAAAAAAAAAGAAACACTCGTATGGCTGAGAGTCAAGTGACAACACCTTAATGAGCAGCTCTAATTTGTAATACGCCATTTAATTGTTGGTAGCGATGACGGTGCTGTAACGATGGAAATAGTACTTACCATGTTTTTTAGACTATAAATTGCTCAGGAGTATAGGTTGCACCAGTGCCCTCTAGCGACTGTCAGTGTGAAAATAATGAACATGTACATTTACAGTGGTACAGGAGTAGCAGAAACTGGAGACAGTCAAAACTATGCTATACTAAGTCTGAGTGAAAGCATTTGTGTTTAGTTATCCAAAATAAACACAATTTACATGAATTATTAGCTAGTTCCTGTTTTTATTTATGTATCATAAAGTGTGTGAAATGTTATACAAATTTACACAGAATACAAACACAATTTACTGTTATATTTTGTATTAAATAAGGTTTTACTTTAAAACGATGTAGGTGAGAAGAAGGTGAGTTTAGTGGTGAGGAGAAACGGGGACAAAGGGATATTGGAGTTTTACCACTTTTTATTATTTTCATTATCTTTAGATAATGATAGGAGCGGTGGTGGCTTAGTGGTTAAGGGGCCGGATTTGGGTCCACCAGCTGCCAAGCTGCCACTGAGGTGTTTTGAGCATGGCACCGTCCCCACACACTGCTCCCCGGGCAGCTTAAAGCTGCCCAGTGCTCACTTTGATGATGGGTTAAAAGCAGAGGTCAGATTCATTGTGTGTGCAGTGGTGTGCTGTGTCAAAATGACAAATTATTCACTTTACATAGATGATGTTCCTAAATTATCTCCTGAACAGAATATGTTTGTGTCACCTGCAAACAATACAAATTGTAACAGAGAGTTGGTTTGTCTCCTTCTCTTTCATAGCCCAACATCACGTCAGACCAGGGGTCGCTCGATACAACTTTGTCACGCCAACATCACGTCAGGGGTCGCTCGATACAACTTTGTCACCTCTAACATGCCGTAAACATTCCTGTTTGCGGCATGTCACACAAAGTTAATTTGAGCATTTTGGGGTTAGTATCAGAACAGACAGGCTATAGCTCTTTTTTTGGATGTTCAGTCCTGAGAGTTCCTATCAGGTTGAGCCATCCCTACTTCAGATGCAAGTGGTCACCATTTGGAGTTAGCAAATTCACGCACTCATAAAGTAGTTTGTTGTGTAAACTTATAAGCCATCATCTTCAAACGTAATAGACCTGTGATTATGCCGCAGCATCATGTAACTAATGAGGCAGTCCTAGACCTTTGGATCTCGGGGTTCCTTCAGAATGAAATATGGAGTTAGGAAATGACAAAAATTTTAAAATCCTGCTACAATTATTTTCCTGTTTGCTTCTGATAGAACACTGCCTGACTAACATTATTCATGGAGTTATCTGTAGCTGTATCTCTAGCTGTAGATAAAGAATTAGTGTCAAAATGCAAAACTTGAATATAAACCAAAGGTATAAATTTATGTAATAACTGTATGTAATCACTGTCTCCAAAAAAGCTTCCAGTATGTGGTTGGATTTTTCCCAAGGTACTCCAACTTCCTCCCATATCCCCTTTAAAATATAGGAAAATTGAATGTAAGTAAATTAAACTAGACTGCTGTAATTGGCTCCATCTCTGTTCTTTTGTATCTTGAATCAATATTATGATCAATATAATTACAATATTATAACTATAATCAATATTACTACCAGTATAATCCACAGAGGATGGCTAAGAGTGAGTTCCAAGCCTCTATTGCTGACTATTTTGCTCTGTGGACTCTGTCTTGCTGTCAACAACTGCAAGTAAACAATGTCCAAATATGTCATGACCAATGCTCGGAAAGAACGTGAATGTGGAGCTTTTCCAACGTGTAGCTATTATGTCTTGTTTTGTTAGTTTGTTTTTTTAGGCTCTACGTCAAACTACCAATTCAGTTTTTGTTTAATGTTAGACTTAACTTGGTAAAATCATCCAGATTTATATTGTCGAATATATCAAACTGATTTTAAACATTTTACAGAGGTTAAAAGTAGGGATGGCTCATTTCAATACACAAAATCGGTATCGGTCCGAAATTGGTCAAAATCTCAGGATTGGACAATGGACAAACAAATATTGCCGTCCGATACCAAGGGCCAAATCTTCAACTTAACTGTGTCACATGCTGTAAACAGGGACACTATTGCCTCAGCAATGGCAGCTACTCCAAGTTCAGTATTGGCATTGGAAATAAAAAGGTTGAATCGAGTCATAGTTAAAACCAACAATTTAAAAAAAAACGGAGGCACACTCCCAGAACATGTTAAAAATGGCTTCCACTCACTTTGGAAGAACAGAAAGTACTAGGATTATCTTTGTCAATTGGAGTCTACTTGCAGTTAAATACACCCAACATATAAAATTGTAATGAATTTGCTGATGGCAATTCTCTAATACTTACGGTTGTTTCCTCAAAGTTTTACCAAGAATGCAACAATGCTAAGCCCTTCCCCCCTTTTTTCTATGACCTTAAAAATTACAATTATTTATTTAGACTCATTGTTGTTATTTTATCAAGGGCATGGATTTGAATCTCCATTTCTATTTTCCGTCTCATTCTCTCTTATCCTTCTAGACATAACTGTGTGCCAGCTCATTGCTTCTCTTTCGAACTGCCTGGTAGGCTCAGGGAAGCCAAGTCAGCACTTCAGTCCTTTATGATGTGACAGACCCTGGCTTCATCGTTGTACACTCAAAGACATTTATATACATGCAGAGAAGATGCAAAATGCTTGAGATCTAAGAAACATCAGCAAACAAATCCTCACTATCTCTTTTGAAACAATACTGAAAGACATGCGCAAATCTGAAAAGCAGAGGTAAAAATGGCATTAAGTTACTTTTTTAAAAAAAGATATGACACACTACTGCATCCAAGACAGCAAAATCATGGTACAGTTTCTAAAAGAAAAGATATGACACACTACTGCATCCATGACCAATGAGAGAGAAAGACAGCAAAATCATGGTACAGTTTCTGTCACTCTGCTCCCAGTGTAACCTATACTAGAATGAAAGACTTCTAATTTAGCTGATTTGGGCTGAAGAATGATGGTTGACAAACAGTATGGGGGATGGAGGGAAAAAGGCGCATGTGACATTATCTAAGAGTTATTGTCAGGGGGGCAGGAAAAGACAGATTGTGTGAAAGAGACCGAGAACGAAGTAGCAAGCGAAATTAAGCAGAGGTAGTTCACCGAGGGAGATGAGGAGACGGGGGAGGGTGAATGTGTTAATACACAGGAGCACTGCATTAAACCAATGCACTGCTCCGAGGCTGGCTTAGCATCAGAGAGGAGTGCGTCAGCAGTGCATTCACGTTCGCACTGAAGGACGAGGGTAGGTAGGGGGCTGCATACTGCAACACTGGCTGACACATAGAGAGAGAAAAGAGAAAAGAGATAAAAATATAGACGTAAATAGGTGATGTGAATCAGAATGGTGTTCCTTCTTTTTCTCTTTCTGCTACGGTGGACTGATTTTTTTGAGAACCTGAGTGCTGCTGCTTCCTTCTCCTCCTAACTACCTCTCACACACTCGCTCCTTTGTGCACTCTATCTTTCGCTTGCTCCTAATCTGTCAGTGGGTCTCTTTCTCTGTGTCTCTCACTCTTTCTCTCTCTCTCTTCCCCTCTCTCTCTTTCTTCTCTACTCTGGCTACTGCAGTAGTCCACCAGCCAGCCGCAATTCTGACAGCCACACACATGGCTAACTGCCACAACTTACTACCTCAGATATAAAGGGAAAAACAAATAAAGGAATAACCAAGAAGAGGAGGCATTGGAGTCAGCCTACGAGACGGACATCCAGCAGAAATAAGAAGAGGAAGATTCTTCCAATCTTCTCTGTTTATGGATACAGACAGGGATTTTGCTTATGCACAGACACACTCCTCTCTTTTCTTTTACCGCAGAAGAGGACAGAAGCGCTCTCTCTATTTATCTCCCTGCCTCTTTCTACCTGAAAGCCTTTTGTAAAGCTCCAAGTGTGCGGCGCATCCTTTTCTCCACCTCTTGCCCAGCGCTACCATCCCTTTCACCACCCTTACAATTCCCCTTAACCCCCCCCCCCACTCCCCTCCGAGAGGAATAGACGCATTACTGCTAACTGTGCACAGGGTTTGCAGCTGCAGCTGCCTTGACCAGGGCCAGCCCAACATTGGGGGTATGCAAGTGGAACACGCAAGATAAGTGGAGAGGAAATGACTGTGCTGGGAGTTCTATAGCCTTTTCTGTCTCACTGTCCCTGTCACGGCAGGGCTAATTAGCAACTGACTAGCCTTTGGCAAAGTCACAGTGACTGAGGTCTCTTCGCCAAACAAGCAACCAGTCAACAAGCCAGTACATGTATCAGGACCTGAGGACTTTTTTTTTAGTTGGTTATTTCTTTATTTTTCTGTCATGTTTTACTGTCTGATGGGTCAGTGTGATGCATCCACAGTGGAGCAGTATTTTGGAATCTGCAGACTGGCAAGGGAGCACTTAGTAAGGGCAACGGGGATCCAAGCGCCTGCAGAGCCTTCCTGGCTTTCCTTCTGCATGTGAGTGTTTTTTCCTAATGCTGTCTATCTTTGAAACCAGAAGCCATTTTGTACGATTGGTTAATAAAGGATCCTATCACTTTTTACTGATTGATATATTGTCCTTGCTATTTTATACATAACAACAAAAACTAAATGTTGGAAGGAAGCAATACTTTTAAACTGATGAGTTATTTTATAATAATTATAAAATAATTCACCGCAATGACTTTGTGCCTTGATTTATCTTGTTATTAATATCTTTTCTGCCTCTTTTTCCCCCTTCTGCATGCTGCTGGATGTAGCGATTTTCTCCACTGTCAATGGAACTTGGGAGCCTTGAATTGCTTAAGCCAGGATAGTGTAGTCTGTCCTCTGTTGTGTGCCATCTCCCAAAATCATGTAGAATAATGAGCCCTCCACACCATGAGTCCTCTGGGCCAGGTTAGTGTGAAGCCTACCTGGAACACAGCCCTGTTTGCCGTGCTCTCCCTCATGGTCCCTGCTCTCAGCATTTGTCAATCTACAGGGCCTGCGCTGGGCTCCACTAAACCACAGAACTGTCCAGGTGTTTGCTCCTGCACCAATCAGCTCACCAAGGTGGTGTGCACTCGTAGAGGACTAGTAAGAGTGCCACCAAACATCCCAGCCAACACCAGATACCTAAACCTGATGGAAAACAGTATAGAGAGCATACAAGCTGACACTTTTAGACACCTGCACCACCTGGAGGTACTGCAGTTGGGCAGAAATGCAATAAGGCAGATTGAAGTGGGTGCATTTAACGGACTGACAAGTCTCAACACCTTGGAGCTATTTGACAACAGATTGACTGTCATACCTAGTGGAGCTTTTGAGTACCTATCAAAATTGAGAGAGTTGTGGCTAAGAAACAATCCCATTGAGAGCATCCCTTCGTACGCATTCAACCGAGTCCCCTCACTCATGAGACTGGACTTAGGTGAGCTTAGGAAATTGGAGTACATTTCTGATGGAGCATTTGAGGGCCTTCAAAACCTCAAGTATCTCAACCTGGGGATGTGCAACTTGAGAGAGTTTCCTCAACTTTCACCTCTCGTGGAGCTGGAGGAGCTAGAAATATCAGAGAATGTTTTCCCTGAACTAAAACCTGGAGCTTTTTGTGGACTCAAAAATTTACGTAAACTTTGGATAATGAATTCCGCTGTCACATCCATCGAGAGGAATGCATTTGATGAGATTACAGCCTTAGTGGAGCTCAATTTAGCTCATAACAACCTTTCTTCGCTCCCCCATAACCTGTTCACACCCTTACAGTACCTAGTGGAGCTGCACCTGCACCACAACCCATGGAGATGTGATTGCGATGTAGTGTGGCTCTCCTCGTGGCTCAGAGAAAACATTCCTACAAATTCCACGTGCTGTGGACGCTGCCACACACCAGTTCACATAAAAGGTAGATACCTGGTAGAGGTTGATCAGACCACCTTCCAGTGTTCTGCACCAGTGATACTCGATGCTCCGAGAGATCTGAAGATCTCTGCAGCAAGAGTGGCAGAATTAAAGTGCTGCACAGCTGCCATGAGCTCCGTGCGATGGCTTCTTCCTAATGGAACCATTTTGACCCATGGCTCAGCCCACCCACGAATATTTGTTCTGAATGATGGGACACTGAACTTCTCCAATGTTCTGCCATCAGATACAGGAGTCTATACTTGCATGGTCAGCAACATGGCAGGAAATTCCAATGCCTCTGCATACTTAAATGTTAGCAATGCTGAACTCAATACATCTAATCTGTCCTACTTTACCACTGTGACAGTAGAATTTTTCGAGCCCACAGTGAAGGAGACACCAAAACCCAAGCCTACAGTCACTGCCTCACCCTCTGTCTTTCAGCCTGTCTTTATTTCCACACCAACCGTACTGTTCCATAATACCCAGACACCCAGACAAGTGTCACTTCCAACAGCCAGAATTCCCAGTCAGCCAGTTGCCAGCTTGGATGAGATGATGAAAACCACCAAAATCATCATTGGCTGTTTTGTTGCTGTAACTTTGCTGGCAGCTGGCATGTTGATAGCGTTTTATAAACTGCGTAAGCGGCATCAACAAAGGAGCACAGTGGCTGCCGCTAGGACCATAGAAATCATACAGATGGAAGAGGAGGTTCATCCTGTGCCTCCGCTAACCTCTGGATCCAGTGGCTCGGATGACACAGTATTGGTACTGCCTACGTTGGTAGAACACAATAGCAATGCCTTTAAACCTGGATATTTCTCGTCTGCCTCTTTCTCTCGTAAAGGTGGCTTTGGAGCCCAGTGGACCCAAAACAACTCCTCCTTCCATCACTCGTACAGACAGCATCACAGCCACATTAGCACCATAGCTGATCCGTATGCGATTGAGACTTCTCACGGCAAAGAGAAAGTTCAAGAGACTCAAATATGAGCATCGCTTTCTTTAGATTTATCGCTGACTCTGTCCCAACCTCAGCTCTTGAGGAATTGTGACCTCATCCATTCATTTACTACAATGCACAACAGAAATGGTTTTAAGTTTCTCTTGCACAGACGTGCAACCCAATGACAGTGTTTTGTTTCTTGTACATGCCTTTGAACATTAAATATATATATACATATATATACAGTATATATATATATTTATATATATATGTACATATATATAATGTCGGGACATACATATTATCTTAGAAAGCTATTTTCTAACACAGTTGCTTTTGTGATTGTCAAAAGGTGGTTCTGTCTACAGTAGAAAAAGCATTTAATTTATTTTGGACCATATTAAGAATGCAGTGAAAATAACCTTTATACAGGCTAATAAATACATTTTAGTGTTATTCTGTGCAAAATAAAATATGCAATTAAATGATATTCCCAGGCTAAGAACATAAGAATATGTGAGACAACTCTAGATAGGAGAAAACATTTATTCCAGGCAGCAAAATGGTACAGATGGAACGTGCTATCGTCCAAATGCTTTTGGACTGCAGTGAATTTCTGCAGCTAATATTTAACCGTTTGTTTGCTGAAGCCAGGCTACATTTATTTGACAGCATTAGTGCTTCTCTGTTGTAGCATAAGTAAACTTGTTAATTTGCTGTGCATATCATTTTTCACTTGTTTAACCGGCTTTAAGATTAAGTACTGGCTGAATACAGCTTTTGCCAATTTCTTTTTCTCTGAGCTTCGACATGCTCACTTGTTTAGGGCTATTTTAGTAATGTATTGCAGCTGCTGCCTAACCCGTCCTTGCAAGGGCCCATTTTGAGGCTTTTTTGAGCCTGAGGTATAGGGCAGTGATACAGAGATGTGCAGGCTGGTCTAACACACTGAGATGGAGTGTCTGACACTGGGTCTTTTTCCTGAACTAAAATGAAACATAACTCCTGTTCTTTATGATTTGTTGTGGACTTTTTTTTAAGCTATGCTATTTTGAAAAGAGTATGAAAAATAAAAACCTATGATTTGTACTACTCAAGCAGAAGGGTTTTTCAATTTTTCCTTTTTTCTTTTGCATATGTTCACATATTTGTCTGTATTGATTAATCATGAAGACTAAAGTCATGGCATTGTATATTGAATCCTATGCCAGACTTCCTCAGCCAACATCTTATGCATTGACTTAGTGTCTTCATGAATGGTTCTTTAAGTAACTAGTTCAAAATGCTGCATTGTATTTTACTGTGTGGTTCTATGCAGATCACAAAGGCTGTTGGTTTTTGATGCCTCATCTTAATCCTTAGCATCCAGCAGCAATGAAGAAAAAAAAAAAAACAATCAACCCCCCCACAGGTATTGAGTTTCTTCTGTTTATTTTTCTCCAAGGTAGTTTATATTAAGTAACTCAATTAGATCAAATACTGGATACGTTCAGGATTCGCTTTCTGTATTACCATGTCAATGCTTGATCCGTTCTTGTTCTTAATTTTAACAATATAAATATGAATTTAAATGTCCCCTGACAGAGAACAAATTGAAGGTATGTCAGTACACTTTTCAACAGTCTCGACATAATGCAGTACTACCATACCACATGATGAATATCACTGCATTATACATTTCAAATTTTGCTAAATTTTACTGGGAGTCATGTGCCCTCTTTTAAATGTCTTGGCCGACACAACATAAGTCATGGCTTGAGCTGCACAGTGAATCGTGCTTGCTGTGCTTCACTGTACCTTGTGATCCAAGCTCCAACCATGCTTACTGTGCTGCATGGGTTCAGTATTTGATTTGCTCTAACTGTGTGCCATGCGCTGTGTTTGTACTGTGCTTACAGGTATCTGCAATATGAGTGAAAGGTTGGGTGCAAGGTTTGCCTTTAAAGGGTGAAAATTTAAAATAAAACGTCTTTCGGCAAGGTTTTATAACACTTAATATTCTTATTTTTATCCCCAAAATAAATAGTCCAATAATATAATAGGATATATCACAATCTTGTGAATTGTATTGTACTTTCCATATTGCCCATTTCACATATGGGCATTTGAAAATAATTACAATGTTTAGTTTATTGTTGGCATTTGATGAAATGTCAGCTCTGGATAACATTCTGTCTCCTAAATTACACTTAAAAAAAACCCTTTTCCTGTAAAGTCATTTTTAATAACAGATTTTAAGTAATTTATATCCTGCAATTTAGCAGCCTGGGATCAATAAACTATCTATCTATCTATCTATCTATCTATCTATCTATCTATCTATCTATCTATCTATCTATCTATCTATTTATCTATCTATCTATCCTTTATGATAACTTTGGATAGAAATGTTGATGTAAACACCCATCGTATTTTCCAGACTATTAGTCGCACTTTTAATCCTTTTGCATTTTTTAGCTGGTACTCCAGAAAATACGGCACATATTCAAAGACTTTTATAAGGATCTCTTGAATCATATTACTTTGAATATTCTCAAAGTAATATGGTAAATGAGAACAGGGACGTTAAATTCGTTGACCGGAAGATTGTTTAAATAGTGTTTATCATTTTTTTAACATGCAGGAGAAACATTATACAGTATGTAAAAGTAAACCAGCTGTCTTGGTGGTAAAGCATCTGGTAAAGTGTGTGGACAAGCAGTGTGTGAACAGGTGCAGCCTCAAAAGAGAGCTTAGCTACAGTATATTAAAAGTTATTTTTTCTTTTTTTCAAAAAAATAGTTGGTCCAACAATGGCTTGTCTGCCTGTTGCTTTTACAAAGCAGAATGTTCTTGGTTGTTACAGTATGTGTGGGTAGAGGAAGAACAGGGTCTTTTTATTTTCTTCAGCGTGGCCCTGGCCTTGTACTGGCCTCACCAAAAAGATTTCGGGTATTTGTGAAGTCTTTAATGCTGCTAGTAACCGGCTGCAAGCAGCTACACTAACAACTACCTCCTTTCTTCTCTTTTCTCTCGTCTTCTTCCTCCTCTTCCTCCTCCTCCTCCTCTAAATGACATCAGCTCGAGAGGCAGGCCTGGCACCACTTTGATTGAAGGAGGTTTAAAACATGTGAAGAAGTAACATTTTCTAACAGTAAAATCAACAAACTACAAATAGTTATTCCCCATGTAAAGACAAGCTGAATACACTCCATTGCTTTTCATAATTTTATAATATTATTTTCCAAACTCAGTCAATTAAGAAAACAAGGAGTTGTGAAACATTTCGCATATGTGATCTATATTAAACATCAATGTGATTAAAGGTGGCATTTTTAGTGGTTTCATAATGTAGCATTTAGTACGCCTGCTTCGCAAGTCCTGGGTTTAATTCTTAGCATAACCGATATTTCTAATGGCCCCTCCTGTGTCGCAATCCTATGAGTTGTAACTGCATATTCCTGTGGCAACCTTTGTTGTTTGTAAAGACTAGTATTGTAAATGTAACAATTGTGGGACGATTAAGGGAAACCCAAGTATTACAAATACAAGGTGATCAACTTACAGTGCTCAGGTATCAGCCGATACGTTTTATCTTACATAACTTAAGTGGTTATCTATTAGTTTAATGTCTCACCAATTTACTAAACTACTGGACCAGGGGTCAACAAGAGGGTCAAAAAATGTACTGCTACTGTGCTTTTTGAATCAGTTACACCTGCAATGATATTCAGATAGGTGCAATGACGATGGTAGAAAGATATATATATATATATATATATATATATATAAGCAATTATCCAGTCCAGCAGAAAGTTCACAAAAACATTGCTCACCCCGAAATAACCCTTCAACTCTCAGTCTTTTACTTTTTTTTTTTTTTTTTGTCAGCTCAGCACAAGCTAATGGCAAGCTACAATTAAGGACCTGAAGCTGCTTTATTTGTGTAAAGGCCATGGCTATTCTAATTTTAAACCAGAAATACTCAGTCTTTTGACATTTGTTGTGGGATAATGATGAAATACCAAGAATGACTTTCTTCCGTTTACATAAAATATTAAGGGCTTGCTTGGGTCAAGTAATTGAATATTAAGATCCATGTCTGTTGAATGAAGACTCCTGCAGTAAACCATGCTGGACCCAGCCATACCAATGGAATCACAGTTTTCCTCCTTTTTAAAGAACAAACTACGGTTTGCAAAGCAGGACAAAAAGCTGAATTCTTCTCTTATAATGCTTTATTGGTCTACCCAAACCCAGATGCTACTGTTTTACGAGGCTATTTGTTAAGAGTTGGATTTATATACATTTCTAAATATATAATATAATATCGACCGACCGATATTATTAGCCCGATATTAGTCTAATTACTGTATTTTTTTGGACCATAAGGCGCACTGGATTATAAGGCGCACTATCAATGAACGGGTCTATTTTCACACATAAAGCGCACACGATTATAAGGGGCATTAAGCGAAACAAAAAGTCAAATAAGTCAAACTTTATTCACCTTAATTACAATAACGCTCAACATTGTTCAGTTTTAACACATACAATAGAAAACAATACACACACTTTTCAGTTCATTCCTCTTCCACCAATCCATCAAATTATTAACCTTCAGTGTCTGAGTTTAACAGTTGGGCGATTTCGGCATCAAGCATGCCCGGATCCCATCCATCCATCCATCGTCATCTGCTTATCCGTTACCAGGTCGCGGGCATGCCCGGATCCCATCCATCGTCATCCGCTTATCCGTTACCAGGTCGCGGGGGCAGCAGTCACCACCCAAATCACAGTGCACCATACCAACCCCCCAAACCTTCCTGCAGGTGGTGAGTCCACTGGAAGTTGTTAACCGCCATAAACGGGATTCGAACTTGCCCAGGAGATGAACCCTGGGGTTCCACACCAATGACAGAGACATTGCCTTTGGGCCAAAGCGCCACTGCCCGGATCCCTCTCGTCTTTATCCAAGTCAGTCTCGTTACTGTTACTTTAGCTGTTCAGTGATGATTCTGCCCTTCATGAAAGCTTGGACAACATTTAAGACTGATACCTTAGCCCAGGCATCCATGATCCATTAGCAGATAGTGGCGTAACTTACCCGGCGTTACCTCCCTGTCTTGGTGAATGTGTGTACGCCTTCTGTCATCCAATGCTCCCATGCAGCTCGCAATCTAACTTTGAACGCCTTGTTAACACCAATATTTAGCAGTTGGAATTATTTGGTTAATCCAAATAATGGT